TATTATTAATTATAGCAGGGCAGCCACATGGCAGTAATGGCAGTTGCCTTCCCCTGTGATTTGGCTTCAGAAAAGAAGGGTTGTGCACACATGTCATACCACTAAGGAATATATCAAAACACAATTGGAGCAAAATAATAGAAGTTTGCTGGCAAGGGGAAAATCAACCACAGTTACGCTGCTGGCCTGGTAAATGATTCAATAATGGCCGTGCATCTTGTGACCAGAAATTTCTCCAACTATCTAACAGGGGTATAATTAGGGATTATTTGCCTCATTTGATCATGTCCTGAGATAGGTATTATTTTTATGGTTCTCCAACTTTTGTTGAACTGGTGAGCCAGTTGTGCGGAACTAGAAAAATGCTGAAAAGTGAGATTGAACTGTAGTACTAACATTTGCTCAGATGTTCATAAATCCCCTTGGGGCAGGGCAGGGAAATTAGTCAGTAGAATCCATGACTATATCCATGTGAATAAGCCTACAGTTCTGTGAGTAGGGCTTCTGGTCAGGGCTCCAGGCTGACTTTAGCTTTCCATCTGTCTGTCAGACTTGCTAATTACTACACATCCCATGCAGACTCATGTAATGAAAGACATGTGGCTCTTCTTTGCTTCTGAATGAAAAGCTAGTGGGAAGGAAACTGGAAGCAAAGAAGCAAGGGAAGGGATGTATAAGCCTCTCTACACCTACCAGATCCCTCCCACAGTTCCCCTTCCAAAGTGATTTGTCACCTGCGTGGGTTTCAAATGTAGATTTGGTTTCATTATACGCTTCCCCCATACATACATATCACTTTTTCTCTGCTACAAATGACTCACCAGTTGGCTTTTTCAACCGACAGACTGCCACTACAGTATTTAAGTCGGCTTGTAGTAAGTAGCTTACACCTTATTACTTTTAGAACCAGTGGTTTGGGGGTCAGTCTCTTGTTTCCTTATTTACCTATTTATTGTATTTATTTCATAGTTCTTCCAAGGAATTCTGGGAGGCATATACATAATTGTTCTTTACCACTCTTGTTCCTCACAACAACAAAAATTTCTTTAATACATCTGGAGCAGAATAAGTGTAAAGATTAATCTCTAAAACTTAATTCAAGTTCTTGTAGAATTGACATGAATTTTTCTGGTTGGTTCTAATTTTATGATTTTATGTTATGATTTTTCTTAGGGTCATCTCTGGAGAAAAAGGCCATTTACAATAACTCTACACAACATTATTTCAATATTTCTCCCAGAGCAACAACGGAAACCAAGCTTACATCTCAATCAGCAGAAGGTAATTCTGCACACCTGTGTGTATTAATATTGCAGAACAGAAAAAAAAATGCTTTATGTGAGCCCAAGAGAGGCCTTTCTTTCAGTCCCAATTTCCTCAAAGGCATACTTGGTGTAGACATGGGAGGGGGCCTTTTGATGGTTGATCCCACATTTTGGGACTCCCTTCCAGGGGAGACCAGGCTGGCCCCTTCCCTGCTGTTCTTCCACTGCTGTTCTTTTCAATCAGGCTTCTAATATTCAGTATAAACTTCTGTTGAGGAAGGGATTTGAAGTAGGAACTCGCCCTTTTAATCTTTGTTAATGCATTTTAAGTTGTTTTAAAAGGATTTTATTTAGTACCTTTTACTTATATGTTTAATTGTTTTTCAGGATTGTTTTAATATTTTTAATTGTTTTAATGTTTGTGTTTTTAAGATCATTTATTAAAATGTCTCAGTTCCCTCTACAGAGAGAAAGGCAGGATAGAAATGGAAGGCAAACAAGCAGGCTGGAAAAGCCCCAGAGGAAATTATAGCTACCATATATAAACTGGGTTTTTTTATATTAAAAGTTTTATATTATGTGTACAGTTTCTAGAAAACATCTTGTACCATGAAGTCAGAGAAGAAGAGCTAATAGAAATTAGTAAGGTTCTACCCTTTCTCCACTGATACTGGAGAAAGTAGATCTGCCCGTCGCCTGAGATCAGTTTCAGAGGCCCTTCTCTAGGTATCCTTCCCTACAAAAGCAGAGTCAGTCTCACTGTTTTTGCTGCGTGAGGTGGCTGAGTGGTGGGCAACAGCAGCGAAATATTAGGGAACAGAGTTGTGGATCCCATGCGTCTTGTCCTGTACCCCCTAGTTAGTTATGGAACATCTTTGTTGAGACTATCTTATAATGTTGATTTTACTGCCCTTTAGACAGAGATCATGACAAATGTGTCCTTCTGGACATCAGATGACTGCTGCATGATGGCTGCTTCTTGAGTTATATTTAGAGGCATTTTGCTGGTCGTGGATGTCATTTAGTGTTTCAATGCTGTAAAAGCAAAAATGGGCTGTTAAGCAGAAGGTCTGCATATAAATGTTTAAAGCAGACAAAGTTAAATGCAAACATTCAGGCTAGTTTCCGTTCATCTGTCTCCATGTGCTGACTTGCATTTTGTGAGCTAACCAGGTTTTTTCTGCTTCCAGCAACATGAAGATGAATAACAGTGTAATTTCAGTATTTGTAGTTAAACTGAGGGTGCAATTACCTTGGCCATTTACCCGGCAATTTACTACAGATAAGTCTCAGATGAATTCAAAATAAAACCCTACAACTACACAATGAGTTCAATGCAGAACTCATTGGGGACTCATTTTTAATTTATTCAGCTAGCAGGGGCAGTTTAAATTTCCTCCAATTGAGTTGACTTTTGTCTGCTTTCTTGCCCAGTGTGATCGCCTGATCCAAAAGCAAAGGAGCATTTGCGGGGTGGATATAGGTGTTAGTTCCCCTCAAATGAGTGCCTGTTCTCTGCAAACAAGTGTGGGTTGTTTTGTTTTTTAAAAGGCTTTAAAGGTAGGGCTAGACTACTACTGAAGTGCTAGGCCATTTCAGGAAAAGTAAATAATTTTTTTCCCAATGAGTTGGGAAATTCTAATTAGCACTTTGTCAAAGGCAGTTTGTGCTCTGCAAACACAGCGCTCTGCTCCTGCTGAGTCCTGCATATTGTTTGATGTCTGGATGGCTATAGTGATTTCACCCATGAAAACCGAATTTGAAAAAAATGTGGATCATAGTGGATTCAAGCGTATTTTCCTCATGGTGTAAGTTACACCATTAGGCATAATTGTAATATTATGAGGTAAATGTTAAAAATAATTTTGTCTGATGCAAATGTCAGTGTGATGGCAGTCTTTTGTAATCATATCTTGCTATTGCATACAAAATAATCTATTTTGTCAGTATGTTTTTTATTTTTGGAAGATACAAGGCTCAGACATTGCTATATTAGAAAATAAACCCACTTGGCCTGAAAATCATCTCCCATCTTCATCTACAAGACTTGATGTCATTCCTTCCTCTGTTGTTCCAGTTCAGTTAACTAAGTCTGCAGTGGTTAGTACTCCTGCTGTCCTAGACTGTCCTCAACACAGCTATGTATTAGCAGTATGGAGGATATATTTAAAGAATGGAACAAGTTGCTACATATCGTACAAAAGAGAGACAAATTCAACAGAAAGAAACTGCAGTAAGAACATGAATTGGGTCTCCAGACCAGACCAGATATCTGCTCTTCGTCTAAAGTCGCCAGAGTTTTCCAGTGAAGGAATATACATGTGTTCTATTGCCTATGCTAGGGGAACTTTCATCTATAAATACAATCTAACTGTATTAGGTAAGCAACTTCATCTGCTCTTCCATATCTATCTGAGATTGTTAATTCTATAACTGTTTCAAGTTATTCACTGCAAACATTTTACCTATCACTTTTCAGGTACTAGCAGCCTCTCAAAGTAGCTTGCAGTTAACAATTTCTTAAAACTGTACAATAACAACCCTATCTATAAAACCCAGGTAAAAGGAAACTATCATAGGAACATACAGAAAGTTATCATGGATCAGGTGAAACCTGTTTAGTCCAGCCTTCTCTTCACACAGCAGCCTTGCTAGAAGCCTATGGGAAATCCAGGAACAGGACATGAGAACAAAGGTTCACTTGTGCCCAGCAGGTGATAAACAGAGGTGTTTGAGCATATGCATTTTCCTGCCCTGTTAAAAGTCGTCTCACTTCCTCTTGACACTTGCTCAACAGTAATGAAAATGATTTTATAGATTCAAGAAGTGAGTCAGAAAGGCAGGATTATGTACAATTTCAAAAGAGGTTCAGGAACCAGGAAAGATAAAAGAAGGCACTTTTCCACACAGCACATTATTAATCTGTAGAGCTGCTTTTACCCAAGATGTAGTGATGGCTGGTAACTTGGCTAGGTTTACAATGGGCATAGATATATTCATGAAAGTGATGGACATCGTGGCCACCAGTCAGAATGGCCATACATCACTTCCAGTACTATTTGCTGGGAATAAAAGATGGAGGGGCGGAATTGTACTCATGTACTATTGGTAGGTTTCTCAGAGACAACTGGTTGGCCTCTAGCTCTATTTACTTATTCTTAAAGCATATGATCTTCACACATGATGAAGGGATTTTGCTAGTCTTCCCCCGTTCACTGTTGCTTTCAACAGCCATCTCACCACATTTCTTTAATTCAGCTCACAGTTTTCCCCATTTGATTTGTTCTTTCAGCACCTCCTGAAGTCACTTTGACTCATACCATCAATGGAACTGCTGTGTGTAAAGCAGCTGCAGGAAAACCAGCAGCACAGATCTCATGGGCCCAACGGGGAGATTATGACACTATGAAGGAAACTCTGCATAATGGCACAGAGACAGTCACCAGTATATATAATACCACCAACACTAATGAAGATGAAGTTGTTTGTATCATCTCTCACCCTGCTTGGAAGGATGCCCGCATCTTAAATATCTCATTAGGTAATACAAATTGGATACTCCCCCCCCCCAGTACAACTGAAAGCCCATCTACACTGAGCACTTGTGCAGTTTTCCATGTATCCATGGTACCAGGACTATGTCCTCGTGTCCATATAATGGACTACTGAAACTAGTCTCCCTAGGTTTAAATATAGATAACACCCTTTGCTTTCTTTTTTCCCTTCCATTGCCAGATGGTAGGGTACGTTGATTCTAGTACTGCATTTTCCATGCTGATCTGCCTGCTTTATATGGGTTTGTGTCCCTGATGGTGTTTTATCAAATGGCCATTTTTTTTCTGTTGGCAAATCTCTACTTCTCCGTGCCCCACGGATAGATAAAACAAGGACAAGGAGCTGTAACTAGTCATTTCGACATCAAGGGCGAATGGCACTGTCTTCTACCCATTCTGTCATGAGGCATGGGTATGAGTTCCTCCATGAAAAAAGAGGAAGAAAATACGGTGTGTTCCAACCCCCATGATAACATGTATGCTTTCCCTCAAAAAGGAAAGTAAGTAACACTGGCCATTTATTTTCCTAACAATTCCTAATAGATTATTTACCTGTAGATTCTGGAGTCCTCTAAGTGTTCATGTCCTTGGGTAAGGACCCAATTGCTGTGCAAAAGCTAGAGATCTGCAATGAGGGAAAGGAGGAGACAGAGAAGGAGGTGGGGAAATGGCGAAGAAAACTAGCAAAAGGGGAAGGCAATCTGTGTTGGAAGTAAGAGATCACAGAGCAATTCTAGTGTCTCCCAGTACATACAGTAAAACATACCCTCCCCATGTGGGGGCACTAATATTGTAATAATCTATTAAAATCTGCAAAAAAGCAATCCAAAACAAACAACAACAACAAAACAAAAAACAAAAAAACCCAGAGTGATCCAGAAAAACCTCAGAAAGACCAAAGGCAACACCACTGTGTAGATAAGGCCTCTGAGGTACAGATCTTTTCATGCGGTCTTCCAAAAGGTTGCAAGTAACCCCTTCGATGCATACGTTCTGCTTATAGTTGAAGTCTTGATATCTCTCTCAGGGTGTGATCTCACGAGGCAAATGCTCCCAAGTTATACCCCTGTTAGATTGTTGTAGAAATTTACCATCACACGATGCATGACCATTATTAAATCATTTCCTCAGCCAATGCTGTAACTCCAGTTTATTTCCCCCTCACTGGGAGGCTTCTCTTATTTTGTTCCAATGGCATTTCAATATATTCCTTACATGTGTACACAGCCGTATTGATTTTCTGCCCAAAGCCAAGTCACCAGGGAAGATGGCAGCCACTACTGACACACAGCTGCCCTGCTTTATATATTGTATTTTCTTTTAATTTCCCGGCCAATATGTCAATACATAGGTCAACCTATGTAAATAGCCAGGTATGCCAGGGTATTGGTAGGTATTACATCACTCCACCTGCTGTCAGGCAAGCAACACAGCCTTGGATAGGGCTGCTGGGTCCATTGAGTGCAAGGCAGTTTTTCCAGACACACCACAACAGAGAAAATTCTACCAAACCGGAAGCCTTACCCAACATATTGATGTATTATTAATTTTTTTTTAAATTAAACTAAGGGGCTGCAGTGCCCCAGAAAACAAGAGAGAAAATAAATTGGTACCACGGTGTGGCTGGCCATAATTATTCAAATAGGAGAAAATGAATCAGTAACATTAATACACATTGGAGCGTTTGTCCAGGTGACCACAATTCAATACAACAAAGGTATGAAAAGTATCATGACAAGAGGAACATTTCCCTTGTGTGACGGCAGCCTCAGTCATTTGCAACTTATATTAAATTCAGTTTGATTCTATGCTGCTAGTTCTGCAGTAGGGTCTTTGTTCATGTGCCTTTGTTCCAAAGTCTACATTTTATGGGGACCTGTTTCTGTTGTAATTATACAGTATTACCTTGAGTGCATTTTAGCATAATATCTGTAATTTTAAAAATATTTTTATTAATGATCCTGTTGTATGATGGGTTGGATGCAATTCAGTTTAGAAAAGTGGGGGGGGGGATATATAAATCGTTAACTAGATCCATACTGATTTTCCAATGGCTACAGAGCCATTCATTCTACTAGTGGCATATTCCAGGGGTTAATACATTTGGATTTGGTCATTTCATAACTGACTTACTATATTTCTGAAAAGAAGGAAAATCCCTTCAAAATATTATGAAAATTTCTTCTTCTGTGGGACAGTTCTTGAGTAATTTTTTTCAGTCAGAGGAAGCTTTGGGGGATTATTCTGGAACCATCTATAATGAAAATTTTAGGGTGTCCATATTGATTTTTCAAAGTTTCACAGGTAGGATATTGGATTATTACCAAGTCCTGCTGATGGAGCTTTTCTAATGGACTGTGCACCCATTCCGCCATGAAAATAACTTCCATTTCATTGTCCTCAAGGAAAATACTGGGTTTAGAAGCAGCCTATAATAATGACTGAATGAAAATGCTGATTTATCAAGATGACACAGAAATTTGGCTAGGAGTTGAAACTAACCTCTTGGACATCCACACCAGTCCTTTCCACTATTTCAGGCAGACAATATAAAATGAATTTAGTCATTAAGTGCTTTGAAAGTCATCTTGTTTCAGGTTAGATTGTTCCATAGTCAGAGCCTGGAAGTAAGCTGTTCCAAATACGCGTAACAGCATTATTTGTATTATATTTCCTTTAGGTAATGATATTCCTATCATTGTTAATCTTTTAAAAAAGGCATGGTTCTTTAAAAGCAAGAGGATGCTCATTTGATGGAACAAGTAAATATTACTTGTTACTTGAAATATGTNATTAAAAAGTAAAATATCACCAACAACAAAACAAACCTTTTGCAACCCCTTTAGGACTAACATGTTTATTTCTATGTGAACGCTCATGGGGACAATACACTGAACTTCTTCATACTGAAATAATTTGTTAGCCTTAAGGTATTGAACAAATATAGGTTGCTGAAGCAAACAAGTATGGTTACTTCTCTGAAAACTGCAAAAAAGAGAAAAACCTTAATAATGTGTTACTACTAAAAGAGCAATTTTTTTTTAAAAAAATGGTAACAACTTTATAAATGTGATAAGAAATTCCAGTACAGTGTAACACAATAAATTTTGCATGCTGTTCCATCCTATGTCATCCTTTTGTCTGAAGATGCCTGGAATTAAACATGCATCCTGCTTGGAAAGCATATGTTCTGTGACAGAGCTGTGGCTCCTGTCCAAGATAAGGCCATTTCTCCTGACTGTAAATGATCTTTTTTATGTTGTGGCTGTCTGCTGAATTTATTATAGTTTTATTCATTTGTGTTTTAATTGATTGCCTAATTGCATAGGAAGTGAATTTTGCTACTACTACTACTAATAATGTACGGACAAGTGTATTCTGATTTATGGTGAGCCCTTTTCAGGATTTTCCAGGCAGAGAATACTACGTATTTCCTTCTTCTGGGAGTGCCCAGCATTTCCAGGCAGAGAATACTACGTATTTCCTCCTTCTTCTGGGAGTGCCCTGCAACTGTGCATCTTGCTCAAGGCCACACAGGCTGGCTCTATCCATAAGAGGCACAGTAGGGAATTGAATTTCCAGCCTCTGGCTCCATAGCCAGATATCAAAACCATTATGAATCGCCTGACTGTATTTGTAGTGCTTTCAAAATTATCACAATATTGTTGTAGATTTTTTGGGCTGTTTGGCCGTGTTCTGGAGGTCTTTGTTCCTAACGTCTCGCCAGTCTCTGTGGCCGTCATCTTCAGAGGACAGGAATTGAGAACACAGACAGAGATATAGCTCCTTCAGAGGACAGGAGTTGAGAACACAGAGTTATAGCTCCTGTCCACTGAAGATGCCAGCCACACAGACTGGCAAAAATGTTAGGAAGAACAACCTCCAGAATGTGGCCAAACAGCCCGAAAAACCTACAACAACTATCAGATGCCATCCGTGAAAGCCTTTGATAATACGTTATCCTCTCACATGTCATGTCATTTGTGGTTTATAAATAAAAGGTTCAAGATAAGTACATATAGGATTAGCTAGCTGAATAGCTCAGTGAGTTAGGTGTGGGAGTTCAGTTCCCCATTATGCATCCCAGGGACAAGAGCCAGCCTGTGTAACCTTGGGCAATGCAGTCCCAGAGCACCCCAGTAGAAGGAAATGGCAAATCACTTCTCAATATTCTATACCTAGGAAACCCTAGAGAGGGTTGCCGTAAGTCGGAATTAACTTGACAGCACGTAATAATCATTATTGAGAACAGGTTTACAGCCTAAAGCTAAAATCTTTCCTGACTGGTGTTTTTTATATGTTGCAAATCTTCAGACAGATATAATGAAAGAAGGAAAGATGCTACAATGAAAATTCTCTATAGTAGCCTCGCTGGTCTCTTGGGAATCCTTGTGCTTTCACTTTTCATCTATGCCTGGAGATTCTTCTATGGAAGGTATGTTCCTACCTTCGGAAATTGTGGTGGTGGTGGGACAGGACCTAGTCCTACTAAAGAGTCATCTGGTAAGGAATCAATAGTAGATAATGCAACAGTCTGTGAGTAATTAGGAAAGAACACTGTAATTACTTTGAATCAGCAAGGGAGTCTCAAAAATGAGAAGTGTTAGATCAATCTTGTCTCTTTTTCTGATAGAAATACAAGCTTCATAGACTGGAATATGTGAATATGTAGCATAAACAGATTTCAGTATGGCTTTTGACAATACCGTATTCCCCATGATATTATTATGGACAAGCTTTTAATAGTAACATTTGGTAAAATGTGGACTAGATCACTGGTTCTTAACCTTTGTTACTCAGATGTTTTTGGACTGCAACTCCCAGAAGCCTTCACAATCAGCTCTGCTGGCTGGGGTTTCTGGGAGTTGCAGTTCAAAAACACCTGAGTAACAAAGGTTAAGAACCACTGGACTAGATGATGCCACAGTAAAGTAAATTTCTAGATGATTCATGGGTACCCCAAAGAGTTCCAACTGATGCTTCCTTGTTATCCTGCAGAAAAGTGGTGCAGTAGATGCAGACTTCTGTCCTGGGTTTAACACTGTACAACATCTTCATAAATGACTTGGATGAAGGAATAGAGGGAATGCTCCTCAAATTTGCCACGGAATGCCACTGAACTGGGAGGTGTAGCCAGAAGATAAAATCAGAATTCAACACAACATGTTGGAGAAATGGGAACAACAACAAAAAATGAATTTCATGAGGAATAAATGTAAAGTAACACATATGGGCAAGAGAAAACCAGATGCACAAATATAGGATGGGTGACAGCAGGCTTCGCAGTAGTATGTGCAAAAGTGAATTAAAGGTCCACAATATATGGGTCTATTACTGCACAAAGCAAAAACAAATTAAAATCATTTGGTAAAATGTGGACTAGATCACTGGTTCTTAACCTTTGTTACTCAGATGTTTTTGGACTGCAACTCCCAGAAGCCTTCACAATCAGCTCTGCTGGCTGGGGTTTCTGGGAGTTGCAGTTCAAAAACACCTGAGTAACAAAGGTTAAGAACCACTGGACTAGATGATGCCACAGTAAAGTAAATTTCTAGATGATTCATGGGTACCCCAAAGAGTTCCAACTGATGCTTCCTTGTTATCCTGCAGAAAAGTGGTGCAGTAGATGCAGACTTCTGTCCTGGGTTTAACACTGTACAACATCTTCATAAATGACTTGGATGAAGGAATAGAGGGAATGCTCCTCAAATTTGCCACGGAATGCCACTGAACTGGGAGGTGTAGCCAGAAGATAAAATCAGAATTCAACACAACATGTTGGAGAAATGGGAACAACAACAAAAAATGAATTTCATGAGGAATAAATGTAAAGTAACACATATGGGCAAGAGAAAACCAGATGCACAAATATAGGATGGGTGACAGCAGGCTTCGCAGTAGTATGTACGAAAGTGAATTAAAGGTACACAATATATGGGTCTCTTACTGCACAAAGCAAAAACAAATTAAAACAATCGATTGTCTAGCAGTGGTAAAACTGCTACTGAGACTAGGTGTTTGTACATTTGTATGAAGGGAGCAACTTATTATTTATATTGGGAGTGGAACCTATGTATTCTACTCTCTTAGGATTGCACTGTAAGATTGGAAAGGATGCTTCCATGACTAATTTGGTGTGGTACCATACTGGATGTGAAATTGTGCTGCAGTCTTAAATCTGACATTTTAGTCTAAACTCATTTTGTACAACATCTCTCTAGAAGACAGAATCTGATTGTATTCCTTTCCCTTCTCTACTTATACCAGACAAACAGACCCCACCATAATGAAAAGCCCTGAAACAATTTCTGCAAGACAGAGCATCCAGGTAAGACCAAGGAAATAATGAAGGGATCTGCTCTCAAGACAGCACATGGGTACTGTGGTCTTGGGAGATTTTAACATTCATACCAAGAATATACTTTCAGGAGCAGCTCAGGACTTTATGTCCTCCATGAGAACTATGGGGCTGACCCGAATGACATCTGGATCCACCCACTAAGCAGGACATGTTCTGGACCTCATTATCTGTGTTGGATGGGGTGGGGAATGATCTGGTTGCAGAGGTGCTTTCAATAGCTCTGTTGTCAAAGGAAGATAATTTTCCTTTCCAGTTGCCCATGATTATCAATGTATCCTGTTGTGGTGTGAAGACAAGCAGGGCATTCCCCTTCTTTTTCCCACTCAGCCCATAAGCTATATTTCATTTTCTCTTTGTCATTCTAAATTGCCAAGACGCTAAGCACTCCCAGTCCTCATGTGGCAGTTTGAGTTGCCCTTCTCCTTTAAACTTATATAGGTTTTTGCCTATAGTCCTAGAAGACCTTACTGTCTGAGTTTGCTTTTAGGAGCAGTGCTAAGTAGGTTTGTTCCCCTCTTTTGATGGAGGTGGGGTGAGAGGTTATTATTCTTTTTTCTACTTCATTTTATCTTTCATAACACTGCTTACATTTTCAAAAACGGATATAAAAGCTACCCATATTAGATTCTGATTTGACATGCTTCCACAATATAACAACAGTGTAAAATAAAAGCAGACTTCTGACATATTTGTGCCAAAGGTAGGCTGAAGTACTCACCCAAGTGTATATTTGAATGAACAAGCTTTATTGCTTAAAACCACAGATAGTCACAATATATCGAGAACAATCAAGTGTGTATCATGAAATAGAAGAGATAGGTTGGTAGACACTCCCTGTCCTTCTGCAAGCAGGCGAAGACCTTTCTCTTCAGGCAAGCTTTCCCTCAGTGACTGGCTGCCTGAGTGGGATTTTTGAATGGATTGTTGTGCCTTATTGCTTTGAATGTGTTGTTGGTGTTGCTTTTGTTTACTGTTTATTTAAGTGTGCATTTGTTTGATACTTTTAAGTATTTGTATACTTACTGTTTGTAGCTTTAAAGATAGTCTTTTATTGATGTCAGCCACCTTGAGTCCTTTTTAAGGAGAAAAGCAGGGTAAAAACAAACAAACAAACAAATATTAGGGAGAAATGAGCTTGCTCAGAGGATGTGGCTTTGTTTTCTAGGACAATGAGTTGGAGCCATATGCTACCTTTGTGCAAGTGGAAAACATGATCTATGACAAAACTGGTGACTTCGTACAGGCTTGAAGACTTCCCAACAGGATGTTCATGTTCACCACCAAACTATGTGAGGATATGTGAAAGAACAACACATAACTACGGCAAAGAAAACCAAGTGTTTTTTTTAAAAATCAACTTTCCTGTTGAGCATTAATACTTTTGAGTTTGGGTATTCATGCCATGGGCTCAGTAATGCAACTGTTGTCTCCGATAATGTTCCATATCCACACTTGTTGGCTGAAAAGCCAGAGGCAATTCTTTATATTAAAAAAAAGGATGCAGAATGATAAGGAATTTTGTGGTTTTCTCCAAAGATCATGGGATTTTCCCAAGGATTCACTTGGCCTTAAATATTTTGTTCTTGCTTTGCCTTTGGAAAAGTCTACATATATAGCATTTTCCTACCCCACCATTTTGACAGCTATCAGAACAGTTATTGCCAGTGCGACTATGATTATGCTTACTTTAAGCTGAGTGCTCATAAGTTAGTAGAGAATTCAATCAATACTGAGAAGGTCTTTCAGACCACAACAGTCTACAAGCAAACCATGCAAGAAATGGAAGTGTTATTTACCGGACTGCTGGCTATATTGTTAGTATTTCAAAAAAGGGTTTTACAGTATACAAGAACTAATTTGTTACTAATATGACATGCAAATATAACAATAGATATTGGACTGTAACCTGCAGAAAATTAGATTTTGTATTAAGTATTCTAGATTTTGCTTAACATGTCCAGGAGGTTAATACAGAGAGAACAAAATTAAGTTGTTAGTTGAGTGACTATGCAATAGAGACCTGGATTCAAAACACTCTTATCTACACGAACTGGCTAGATGACCTAGGCTCACAATCCTTCTCCCTTTCTCTCTCTCTTCCCCATTAACCTCTCTCACACACTGTTGTGTGATTGAAATGTTCAGCATGGAGACAATTTACTATTCTAAGCTGTATGAGAAAAGTTTGGAAATATTAAGAGAAAAGCACCAGTGGTAATCTATGACAAAATGGTTTGCAAACGACAATGGCCCAGTTTTTATTTAAAGCTCTTGATAAAAAAAATTGTCCCTTACAGATAGAGGAAACAATGGGGTTTCTAACACTTCCTCACCTACAGTACCTCTAAGGAAGGGGGCATTAAACCTAGCAAGTGTTCCAGAGAGTAGTAGAAATGATGGTAGGGAGAGCCAAAGAATAGACAGTGGAGCTGCAGCCTTAATTTCAGCCACAGTCACCTCCAGCCAAGGAAATGGGGCCATTTGAGGTGGCAACAGACAGCTCCTCAGGAGATACATGGAGTGTTTGTGTGTCAGTATATGGTTTCCTTTTATTTATTCCCTGAGTTGTGTATTTTACCCTGTCTCATGGTAGAACCAGCCCTCAAATAATCATATGAACAATAACACTACTTAAATATAAGCAGGGAATATATGGATCACGGCTGGCTTCACATTTGAGGTGACCCGGGTCAAAGTAACCTCTTATGGGGTGTGTGTGGCTTCTCTTTTGATGGACTGGGAGGTGCTGACATGTGATAATCCAGCAGGTTGCTTGGAGTCATGTGCCAGAATAAACAAGCAAGCAAATGAGCAAACAAATATAGGGCCCAACAGCAATTATTAGCAGTGAGGCCCTATCAGGGTGCTGGGGCACAATCAGTTGTCTTGCTATGTCAGGTTGCTGATGCTGGCCCTGATATGAGTGGTAATTTTGACAAAAATTGATTCATAATGACCCCTAAATTGTCAAGAGCCACTAGGGGGCATTTTGACTTCATGTTCCATTGTATTGTGGGAGATTTTCCAGTTTTTCACAGATCAGTTGCAGAAACTTTTAGCCTTTATGATTCTCTTTTCCTTAGGGAACCCTCAGGAGAATATCTTGATCATATTCATCCTAGATAATATATATATTTAAAGTCATCCAGCAACCATCTTTACCATATATTTGGAACAATGTTTTTTATTATTATTATTTGTTCTGCTACATGGCTGTTTCCTGCAAACCTTTAGTGATCATAATTTTTGCCCTCAAACAGCACAATGTGGTATTCTGTATTCTGTATTGCTGATTGCTGCATGAACAATGAATCTTTCATCCAGTGCAGTTAGACTTAATGTGAGCAGTGGTAGTGATATTGCGAAGCATAGAAGGTGCAATCAGATGGTGGGAAATACACACCAGAAAGAGTTGCTTTGCAGGTAATGATCTCACTTGAAGTGACCCTTCTGTCTGCAAGGGAATTGCTCTGGCTGAGCCCTAGAAAGTGGAAGCTCTACAGCTCGAACAGAAAGGTCCAACTTGGACACAGATTGGGGTCAGCATAAGGCACAATTATCTGTATGTTGTATGTCTGCAGGAAAACAGACCACATCAGACCACTCTAAAATGTGATCTATCCCCCAGTGTAATCACACCCAAAGATACCATAAAAGCCAAATTATGAAAGAACTACAGGAGATAATGTAGTACAGTCATGTCAGGTTCAGTTGGGGAAGCTGAATCAGAGCTTGGATGGAATCTGGCTAGCCAGGCTGGCTGAGGATTCTGGGAATCACAGTCCATATAAGTAACCTTACCAAGAGACAGCATTCATTTTAGGGGTACCTCTAGTAAACATTCATTCCTTTGGCACCACTCATTAGAAATCAGTAATACTGCATGATACCAAGATGCCATTTTTATACATTAATTTGATATATTACTGTTTATACCTTACTGCTGAAATAAGAGTGTGCGAGAATCCAATCTGGGTCTCACATTACATGCAACCTGCTATGCAATGCCTCATAACCACAAAAACCACTATGCAATATGCCACACAATACTGTGTGACCCAGAGTGCACATTGAAACATGATTTATTTTTTCACACATTGGGGGAAATGAAGTAGAGAAATGCTGAACAGTTTTCATAAACTCACACAGGATGTCTGCAGCAAAGCCAGGACACCAATCTGGAAGGAGAATTTGAGAAGTTGTTAGCTGGAACAACTGTTTTTCTTTTTCGACATATAATTCTATTTAATAGCAAGTGCTCTTGCTCTTGTTAGAAAGTCAGAATATTGTTTTAAACATTGCAAATGGGAAAGAACAGGAAAACGTGTGAGAGAGAGGAAGGGGGAGGGGGTCGGAGGGGGAGAGGGAGACTTAATTCTCCCTCCTGTTTGAAATGCATCCATACCTAAAATTCTCCCTTCACACTCAGTGTCTCTTTGAATGTGTCCAGAGCACTTTTGCTACCACTATCTCAGCCAGTACTCAGTTGATGCCGATTCCTCATCCTAGACCCCACACCTACAATTATCCATGCCAAGAAGTATGTTGTCCATTTCTTCTTTGCCCCGTATCCAGGACTTTATCAGTTCCAAGACTATGCCATTGCTCTTTCCTATCATCTTCTGTTATTTTCTGATTTATTGCCTCTGGGCATGAATGTTTTGTTTAGCAGCAGTGCTGCTCCACCCCACTAGTGCCCCCCGGCTCTTTGCCCTAACCATAGTCAACATATTCCTTGGTGCCAAATCATTTTAATTTTTAATTCCCTCAAATTTTACATGATAGAAAAGCTGGCTAGATTTAGAAATACACCCTTCCTTTCTTTCTTTCTTTCTTTCTTTCTTTCTTTCTTTCTTTCTTTCTTTCTTTCTTTCTTTCTTTCTTTCTTTCTTTCTTTCTTTCTTTCTTTCTTTCTTTCTTTCTTTCTTTCACAACAGTACAATTAAAAATATATCAGATATATCAGATAGATTTTGGCCAATAAAGGACAACATCCTGAGTCGCCCAGGGGCTCGCATTATGCTCTTGCTGGATCCCTTTTTATAGTAGTAGAAGCCTATATTTGTTGTGCTTTCTGACAAAAGGTGAAAAGAAATATACTCGAGAGAAAGCAGTGAATGTTTCTTTCATTGATGCCAAGCTACTATAGATTTCCATTCCAAACATTCTTACTTAAGAAATCTCATCCAGAGTGGGCTGTAGAATCACAGCAAGCCTGTCATTCAAGTCCTTCTGCAAGATAGGAGGCTGAATTTAATACTGTATTTAGAACTGTATCTGTTTCAATGAAAGTTGCTGGGATGTAGACACATAGAGCTTTTCTTCCCTTGAGGTGACTTTTGTCCACACTGTGAAATTTGGTGCAATCTAGCCGGTGCTTAAAAGGTCCTTATCTTCGGTGTGATCTATTTTAACTCAAATACCTGTCCACAAGGTTGGATCGTATTAAGCAGAAACACAAGTGGACAATGTCTTTTTTTCTGTGCCAAAAACTGCCATCAGGGAACCATGTATCATAACTATATACCAGTGCGGACAGGCATAAAAGCAAAGGCCTGTGGTATATCATAACTATATACCAGTGTGGACAGGCATAAAAGCAAAGGCCTGTGGTTCTTAGGACATAAGATTATTTGGAACAATTAGTTTCATCATCATGTTTTGTGGGCAAGTGGAAAGATTTGTAACGTATTATCCTTATTGGTGTAAAGCAGGTATTTTATGTTCTTATGGCTTGGGGTTCTCTTAAAACCCTGGCTGACCTCTGGAATGGAGAAACACCCTAGACAGAGCTTCTATAGGTGCCCATAAAAGTTCTGCAGTAACACTTTATAGGCAACCTACATTTTTGGGAGAAAAATTGATTGAATCCTCAGCGGCCTCTGGTATATAACAAAATGTCAAGCACTATTGTGGTTTAAAATGGTGCTAATTTGTGTGGAGTTTTTTTCTGCTCTGGATTTTACACATACATCACAGTTTGGGGGAGCACAGAGCCACCTTTTTTTCCTGCCTGTCGTATGCCAACCCCTTCCCCATTTCACTCATTTAACACCCTCTCGCTCATGTCTGTTTTAGTTTTAACTTAGTAAGGGTGGTTACCTGAGATAAAACATAAGGAGTCCCTTTCTTTTCAGGAGGCACTCTACAGAGCCTTCAGGGAGCAAGGCTCCAAGGCTGTGGATTCACTTCCGCCTGTCTCCCCTCAACCACCCTTATTTGCCATTCCCCAGTTCTCCCTCAAACACCAATGTATCTTCAATTTCTTTTACTCTTCTTTGCACCTTGTTCACTTATGTGGAGATGCACATTGAAACCTGTTATTAAAGCACATATCCAAAGATGCACTTTTTTAAAATTAAAGGTGCACGACATTCCCATGATGTGATGTAGCACCCAGTCCCTGGCGTGCTCACATATACAAGATTAAAACAGAGATAAAAGCAGAGTAATGTCTATGTGTGTTGTAAGCAATCTCATGCCTGTTTGCAGCTAACCCACAGTAAATACAT